CAGGGAGCCCGATGCGGGACTCGATCCCGGGACTCCAGGATCATGACCTGAGCCGAAGGCAGTCGTTTAACCAACTGAGCCACCCAGGCGCCCGGGAACTGGTTCCTTATCAAATGATTCAGCTATGATGCAAGTTTAATTTTATTTGAATGGGTATGTATCCATATCATTGTGAAAAAAGTGATATCACTACACAGTGTTGACACATATCAACACACACACAAACACCTAATTAAACAACATAATAATCCATACAGGACAGATTACCAGTGTCCTCCTCTCACCCTTATATTTTTCTTTTTAAAGATTTTATTTATTTATTTGAGAGGGAAAGAGCACGAGTGGGGGTGGTGGGGGGGGAGAGGCAGAGGGAGAGGGACAAGCAGACTCCTCGCCAAGCAGGGAGTCCCACACGGGGCTGGATCCCAGGACCCCAAGATCATGACCCGAGCCGAAGGCAGATGCTTAACTGACTGAGCCACCCAGACGTCCCTCCTCTTACCCTTATAAATGAAACGTATCCTTCCATAAATTAGAATGATGCCTCAGACACGACAATTTCCAGGAATATATACTATACCTGCGTGAATCGGTCGCAGTCAACAATGCGGAAAGTTTTGCCATAAATTGTTATGTTTATTCCTCGATTTAGGTCTTTCCAATGGTAATGGTCTCCCTGGTCGTTCTTGGGTAGCCGCTGGCGTTTGATTAACTTGCCTTGAAGGATCCCAGAGTTTTCCACAACAGGCTCCACGACAGACATGCTGTCATCTTCCAGGTAGTAGTAAATGTTCACTTGGCGAATCCGATAATGTTCCTCAGTTGACATAGGAACATCTTCTTGGAAATAGGCATCAAATTTCAGCACCTATGACACACAAGGCAGGGAGAAATGGCATTGTATTAGTCTCTCATGCAAAAAACATCCAGTACCCTCCTCTAAAGAGAGCCGCTTGGGGAGAACTAAATACTCATCACTCCTATTTTCTAAATCGAAGGCTGCTAAACTACGGTCCGTGGGACCCATCTATCCCTGCCAGCTGAGTCTGTATCACCTCCAAGCTAAGAATGTTTTATTTACGTATTTAAATGGTTAAAAAAATCAAAAGGATAAAATCTCACAACACATGGAAATGATACAAAATTCAAATTTCAGTATCCATAAATAATTATGTAAATAATTAGCAGGTATTTGTCAGGGCTGCTTTCCCATTACAAGGGCAGGATTGAGTAGCTGTGATAGAGACCACGTGGGCTGCTACTATGGACTGAATTTTGTCTCTTCCCCCCCCGCAAAAAAAAATTTGTATGTAAAAGCCCTAACCCTTAATATGACTGTATTTGGAGACAGAGTCTTTAGGAAGTAATTAAGTTTAAGTGAGGTCCCAACAGTGGGGCCCTGATCCAATTGAATTGGTGACTTTGTAAGGAGAGGAAGACCTCTCTCTCAGCAAACCCACCCTGAGGAAAGGCCACGTGAGGAAATAGCAAAAAGGCAGCTATCTAAAGCCAGGAAGAGAGCCCTCACCAGAAACTGAAGCAGCAGGACCCTTGATCTTAGACTTCCAGCCTCCAGAACAGTGAGAAAATTAATTTCTATTATGTAAGACAGCACCAGTATATGGTATCTTGTTATGGCAGCTCAAGTAGACTAAGACACCTGCAAAGCCCCAAATATTTACTATTTGGCCCTTTACAGAAAACGTTTGCTGACCTTTGCTCTAGATACTCAAACTACACATAGACTACTTAGTAATGTGGTCCTTGATCAATGGCTTAAAGACCTTAACTGTACTAGCTTCACTTCTGTGTCAAAAATCTCTCTTAGAATTTCTGCAAAGAGTCAAAAATTTGGGCAAGACTATAACCTTTGGTTTCAAAATGAAAACGAAGCCTCAAGTCCATTTCTTTAGAAGGAGAGTCCCCTGTAAATGCATATTAATGACATTTTCATCCTTAGAGAATTCATATGAATGAGACTCAAATCATCAATCCAGCACAGAATCTTTGGGCGGCATGTAAACCCACCCTCACTGTACTCAGAAACATACATGATAGATGGAGCAAACCCTAGGTCCTCTGGGGAGCATCAGAGGGAAGCCAAAATGGCACGTTCTGTTGCACGTTTAAAAAACATTTAAAAATACTAAAAGCTTGTGTTGACAAGCTTTGGGATTAATTTTAAAACTTTCTTTTATCCCATCTTTATTTTTAATATTTCCTCCCATGAAGAGAAAATATTAGAATGGTGTTGCAGGTAGACAAGAGTGTGAACCTAAACCTCCACTGGAACTAGAGGAACAAACCAAGAAGACCGTTTAGCGAAGACACAAATATGGCTTGATGAATGGGAAGATGCATAATTTTATACATGAGTGCTGTTGCTAAAAAGGTGTAGTGTCTACTGTGGAAAAACAAGATTAAAAACCAAAGAGATCAGGCAATTGCTTATGTGAAATAAGCATATAATGGAATAAAACCTTAAAACTCTTAATAAAAAGATGAAATGCATGAATGGAATAGAATGTTTAAAGGAGAAAGAAAATACAGTAAAAACCAAAGACAAAAGATCGTTTTCAAGTAACATTGTAGATCCACTACAAAGAACTGAAATGGAGACATGATCACTATAAGTGGGGGCATGATCACTAATTCATGCATGAAATGGTCTGTAATTTGAGCCACAGATATTTAAATACACAAAATGTGTGAGCCAGAAATAATCAGCTAATTGAACCTCCCTCATTTTACAAATGGAGACTCAGGGTGGTAGAGTGACTTGCCTGAGGCCAAACTCAGGGTTAGGGGCACAGCTGGGGCTGAAACTATCTGTAGACTCATAGAGAAACAAGGAAAATGTAGAGAAATACCCAACCATATATCTGATACTGTTTAGGTTCAGCTTCTGAATGGATATATGAATATGTTCCTATTGGATGAGTTCAATGAGATGGGGAAAGGGGGATGGTATGGATTCTGGCTGAGACATTTAAAAAATTTTTTAAACTAAGTGATTAATGAATGTAAATGGTATAATTCCACCATCAGGTTATTTTCTATTTTCCAGCCTCTATTTTCAATAGGTACTCAATTAGGGGCGCCTGGGTGGCTCAGTCGTTAAGTGTCTGCCTTCAGCTCAGGTCATGATCCCAGGGTCCTGGGATGGAGCCCCGTATCAAGCTCCCCGCTCCGCGGGAAGCCTGCTTCTCCCTCTCCCACTCCCCCTGCTTGTATTCCCTCTCTCGCTGTGTCTCTCTCTGTCAAATAAATAAATAAAATCTTAAAAAAAAAAAATAGGTACGCATTAAAGTTGACTAGCTAGATGAACACTATAGACATTTAACAAAAAGAATAAAATGAAAAGAAAGACAAAAAAAAAAGACAGAAAGAAAATAGGCTAGGAGTAAATTAGGAAAGCTAACTTGTAAAAACTGGTCAGTAGTTCTCAGACTCAGTTATACATAAAAATCATCTGGAAATTAAGATCGATGAGGGTTAGGGTGACATCTCAGTTTCGTAAAAGTCCCACTAGGGATTCTGTTGCATGGCCAGAGTTAGGACAACCTCACCTTAAAGAGGAGGCCCACTGACAAGGAGAATCAAGGATGATATGGAAATGTCAACAGATGGAACTAAAATAGCTCACATTACAAAAGCATAAGGGTAAATGAGACAGAAATGAAAATGTTACATATCCTTTGGTTATATTATGCCAAACCTGAAACATTCCCTGAAAAATGAAAACTTATGAAGACAGCCTGGAGAAAACTGACAAAAGATGGAGTTGTTGTTGTGATGCATTTCACAAAGACTAAGGGTTTGCCATCAGTACAGATAAGACTTCCAAAAAGTAGACAGCACAGAGCAGGTAAACGTGGAGCAATATGAATTCAAGAATTCAGAATTCACCCAACTTTTCTTTAACTGTATTTGGAAAATATTTCAGTGAAGTCTACAGGGAATTATTTTCTGTAATAAGCTTCCTGACTAAAGAAAGCCTCTTTCAATCCTGAGTTCAGCTGTCTATGACTAAAGGTTGAGGCATTTGAACAATTTTCTCCTCAGAGCCCTCTGGAAAACCTGTGGTTTGCTGTTGACTTTTCTGCTAACAGTTGGCTCTCAGAAATCTGAATTCAAGGGGTACCCGGAAATCCCAGATGATACCTTTTTGTCAAAAGCCACATGTGCAGGAATAAATTCTGCAGGTGGGGCCTGCTTAGGTTGGCCATAAGTTAAAATCGGTGCCTTGTTGGCCAACTCATCCAGCTCAGCCTGGGACAGCTGGTTGACCTGGAGCCGCTCCCCGCCTATACCAACTGTTGGACGTCGAACAACTGCATAGCCATTCCTGTAGCCCAGAGTCTGGCTTCTATGAAATGCTGTTTTCTGAAGAACAAAAGAAGTGTTTCATTAATAATATTTTATAAATATGTGTTAGGTAAAAGAGCTAACTTTCAAAAACATCATAACTTAAACCTGCACTTAAAAACATCACAAACCTTGTATCAAAATGCTTACCTGTATTAGAAGGTTCTTATATTTTAAGCTAAAATACCTGGTCAGGAACAGGGAGAAGAGCAGCAGTCTGAGCTTAAAATAAAACTTAAAGCCCTGCTCCAGAATACCCAATATAATTACCAGCTCACTTTTCATGAGAAACTAAAATATTATCTTATCTATACTCAATCTTTCACTTAATTCTTTCTGTGTTTTTAATCTTATCCAGTGTTCATAAACCATGGAACCTAGAAGATCTGACTCAGAAATGAATTTTTGCCTAAAATAAAAGGCCTTTCTTGTTATAATAATACTGATACATTCATACAACTCTTTGGAAAGCAAGTGAGTATTATACGTTTAAAGTCTTGAACTCAATAAATTCTACCCTAGATACTTTATTTTAAAAATATAATCCAAAATTATGAGAAAGAACAATATGCCTAAAGCTGACCATTGTAATGTTAATTACAATAGTAAAACATTGGAAACAATATAAAAGACAAACATATGAGTTAATGATGGAAAACTCACTTAACGGACTGTGATGCAGCCATTAAAATATTGGTTTTAAAGACCATGTGGCAATCTGCAAAAAATGTTTATGATTTAATAAGCCCAAAAAAGCAGTATATAAAATTATATGTATACCATAGGGCACCTGGGTGACTTAGTTGGTTAAGTGTCTGCCTTCGGCTCAGGTCATAAAATCTCAGGGTCCTGGGGTCGAGCCCCACATAGGGCTTCCCACTCAGCTGGGAGTCTGCTTCTCCCTCTCCCTCTGATCCTCCTCCCCACTTGTGCTCTCTGTCTCAAATAAACAAAATCTTAAAAAAAAAATTAAAAAAAATAAAATTATATGTGTACTATAATTAGAAGCATGCAAACACATGCATAAAAAGAAAGTGGATTTGGATAATGTTCTCTGTATTCTTTCTGAATTAAGTTGATTTTTTTTTTATAATGAACATATTTTTTTTTCGGAAATTGAAAAAAAACAAAAGATTAAATAAAAAAAGAAAAAAGTGGGAAGGAAATATTTTTGAAGGCAGAGGAGAGACCAAAATGGTAACATAGGACACCCCAGCCTCCCTACCCTTCCACAAAGATCAACAATTAGTTATCCATGGACAAAAACAGCTCTGGAAGAGCTTTGGAGTCCAGTCAGGAGGTTTTAGGAACACAGTGGAACAAAAAACCTGAGAATAACTACAGAAGGAGAAGGAAAGCGTCATTTTACTTCATCATCTCATCCCCCAAGCCAGCACTGCTCAGTGTCAAGAGGGAACTTCCTGGCCAGAAAGAGATCCCCTGGCCAGGAAGGAAGAGCAACCAGCTTCTCCAGTCTTTTGGGGCAGTCCACAAAGGTCCCACTTCAGTTTCCTCCCACCCAGACCAGCAGAGCTGAAGTGTATAAGGCCAGCTAGGAACATGGATGCAAAGCAGGGGCTACTGGCAGCAGCCCCTCAGTCGGAGTGACTGTGGTGTGTAGACACCTGCTCTGCAGACAAACCCGGCAGATCTTACCACTGAGCCAAAGCCAAGGGCCAGGATGGCTACGGCCACTGGGTACCCCCTGCAGATTTCATCAGTGTTCATCCCACAGGCATTCATGATGCCAAGCATCAGAGCCCCTTGCCCAGCCTCCCCTCCCCACATCCTCGCCAGAGCCTGGGAACCACGCCGGCAGCCAGCTTGGGCCTCTGCAGCTGCTGGAGTGCAAGAGGCCAGCACAGACACCCTCTGGCTGACCCCTCCCCCGTTCATGCACTTGGAACTAGCCCCTCCAGCTGTGCATCTGCACACGGCCCAACCCTCATCACAGGCCTCCACTGCAGTGTGCATGCTGGGGGGAGAGTGTGCAGCCACAGGAGGACACACCAACAACCAGGGCCTCGTGCAGCTGCCAGTGAGCCCATAGTTGGCCCTGGCCCTTGCCTTCTCTGCTTCCCACCACCATGTGTGTGTCTGCAAACGGCCCCTGCCACTACACAGGCACCCACAGTTGGCACCCGACAGCCAATTATGTGTCCCAGCTCCAGTCACCACTGCTGTTTGCCCTGCTCCCTAGCTGCTGGACCTGGAGGTCGCTAAAGACCCCCAAAGCCCTTGCAGCCACTATGGACCCCCTGTAGCACCTGTCAAGGACTACACAGTTGTCAGTGCCATAGACCCCAGTGGCCTGGGCCAAAGAGACATCATGTCCCCTAAACCTAAACCCAGTGCCGCCACAAAGCCCTGCACTTGGTGCCCTACACCACTAGGCCCAGGATCACAGCAAGCTGCAGCATACCTCCACCCACAGGTGAAAGTCATCCCTTACCAAAATCAGTCCATAAAGTCTGGAAGAGGTAGCTGCTTCTTGATGTGAAGATACCTAGGCAAGATACAGGGATCATGAAGAATCAGGGAAACATGATTCCACCACCTATAGTAACTGGCCCCAAAGAAATGGGGAACCAGGAATTGCCTAATGAAAAAAATTCAGAATTGTCCTAAAGATGGTCAGAGACCTACAAAAGAACAGAGATGGGCAATTTAATGATATCAGGAAAACAACAAAGGAACAAAGTGAGAAGTTCAACAAAGACATAGAAAACATAAAAAAGAACCAAACAAATTTTGGAGCTGAAGAACACAATGACTGAACTGAAGAATTCAACTATAGCTTCAAAAGAAGATCTGAACAAGCAGAAGAAAGAATCTGTAAGCTTGAAGACAAATAACTTGAAGTTAACCCACAGAGGAGCAAAAAGAAAAAAGAATGAAAAGGAATGAAGAAAGCCCATGGAACTTATGGGATACCAACAAGAAAAATCATGTATGTATCACTGGATCCTTCTCTAGAAGGAGAATACAGAAAGGGGTAGAAAGCTTTTTATTTAAAGAAATAATGGCTGAGAATTACTCAAACCTGGGGAGAGATTTGGACATTCAAGTTTATGAAGCTATTGGTACTCAAAACTTCAATCTAAAATAATCTTCTCCAAGACACATAATAATAAAATCAAAGACAAAGAGAGAATTTTAAGAGCAGTGAAAGAAAAAACCTCTCTCATACAAGGGAACTTCCATAAACGATCAGCAGATTTTTCAGCAGAGATCTTGCAGGCCAGTGTTAAAAGAAAGAAACTGCCAACACAGGATACTTTATCCAAAAAAAATGTGCTTCAGAAAGGAAGGCAAGATAAAGACCTTCCCTAATAAACAAAGATGAGAAGATTTATTACCACTAAACCTGCCTTATGAGGAATGCTGAAAGAAGTTCAAAGCTGAAACAAAAAGGCGTTAATTAGTAACATGAAAATATACAACACATGGATAAAGTGAGCATATAGTCGGATTTAGAATACCCTAATACTGTAACATGGTGATGTGGTCACTTCTTAATTCTAGTACAAAGATTAAAGGACAAAAGTACTGAAAACCTCTGTAGCTCCAACAATTTGTTAGTGGACACAAAATATAAAAAGATATAAATGGTGACATCAAAAAACCTAAAGCGAGGAGGGTAAATAAGGATAGGGTGTTTATATGTGATCAAAGTTGAGCTGCTATCAGTGTAAAATAGACTCCTACATATATGTTTCATGTGAGTTTCATGGTAACCACAAAGCAAAAGCCTACAGCAGCTTCACAAAAAATAAAGATAAAAAAATCAAAGATACTACTATGACCACTCATCAATCCACAAAGGAAGACAAGACAGGAACGAGGGAACTACAAAACAGCCAGAAAACATTAAATGGCATTAGTAAGTCCTTACCTATCAATAGTTACTCTAAACATAAATGAACTGAATTTTCTAATCAAAAGACAAAAAGCTGGATGATTTAAAAAAAAATAAAAACCCACAAGATCAACTATATGCTGCCTATGCTATAAGAGACTTGCTGTGGCTTGAAGCACATACATAAGCTGAAAGTGAAGGAATGGAAAAAGATAATCCATGCAAGTGGGAACCAAAAGAGAGCATGGGTAACTATACTTACAACAAACAAAAGAGACTTTAAGCCAAAAATGGTAACAAGAAACACAGATGGTCATTATATAACAGTAAAGGGATCAATTAATCAAGAAGATATAACAACCACCTGAAACTAATATAACACTGTATGTTAATTATGCTGGAATCAAAATAAAACAGAGGGGAAAAAAGATATGATCATAAATATACATGCACCCCACATGAAAGCAGATACTAACAGATCTGAAGGGAGAAATAGACAACAAGACAATAATAGTAAGGGATTTCAATAGATGACTAAATCAGATAGGAAATGAACAAGGAAAGGTTGGATTTGAACCATACTTTAGACCAAACAGACCTAACAGACATAAAAAGAAAAATCCATCTAACAACAGCAAAATACACATTCTTCTAAAGTATATCAACATTCTCCAGGATAGGTTATATGATAGGTGACAAAACAAGTCTTAGCAGATTGAAATCATACCTAGTATGCTTTTGCACCACAATGATATGAAACCAGAAATCAGTAACAGGAAGAAAACTGAAAAACTCCCAAATATGTGGAAATTAAGCAACACACCCTTGTACAACCAGTGGGTCAAAGAAGAAATCAAAAAGGAAATCAAAAAGTATCTTAAAACAAATGAAAATAGAAGCACAACATATGTAAACCTTTGGGAACCTGCAAAAGGAGTTTAATAGGGTTTTTTTGGTTTTGTTTTAGACAGCAAGAGAGAGAGAGCAGTGGGGGTAGGGATGGGGGTGCTGAGGGAGAGAGAGAATCCCAAGCAGGCTCCCCGCCCAGGGCAGCACCCAACACGGAGCTCCATCCCACAACCCTGAGATTATGACCTGAACCAAAACCAAAAGTCAGATACCCAACCAACTGAGCCACCCAGGTGCCCCAATAGAGGATTTTATAGTGATAAATGCATGCATTAAGAAACAAGAAAGATCTCCCTGATATCAACACCAGATAAGGATACTATAAAAAAAAGAAAGTTACAGAGCAACATCCTTGATGAATATAGATGCAAAAATTACCAAAAAATATTAGCGAACCAAATTCAACAGCTCATTAAAAGGATCATACATCATGACCAAGTGGGATTTACTCCTGAGATGTAAGGATGGCTCAACATACACACGTGAGTACTTGTTATGCAACACATTAAGAGAATGAAAGATAAAAATCATATGATCATCTCAAGAGATGAAGAAAAAGACAAAACATCCATTCATAATAAAAATTTGACAAACTGAGTATAGAAGGAACATACCTTAACATAGTAAAGGCCATATGTGACAAGACCATAGCTAACATCAAACTCGATGGTGAAGGGTTGAAAACTTTTCCTCTAAGATCAGGAACAAGACAAGGGTGTCCACTCTTACCATTCCTATTCACCATAGAACTAGAAGTCTTGGCCAGAGCAATCAGGCAACAAAAAGAATTAAGAGGCATCCAAATAGGAAAGGAAGAAGTAAAACCCTCTTTGTATGCAGATGACATGATCTTACATTCAGAAAACCCTAAAGACTCCACCAAAAAACTGTTAGAACCAATGAATTCAGTAAAGTTGCAGGATACAAAATCAACGTACAGAGAAAAATTGTGTTTCTATATACTAACAATGAACTATCTGAAATTGAAATTAAGAAAACAATTCTGTTTACAATTCTATACAATTCTGTATAGCAAAAAAACAATAAAATACTTAGGAATAAATTTCAGTACATGAAAAACCTATACACTGAAAACTATAAGACACTGATGAAAGAAATTAAAGAAGGCACAACCAAATGGAAAGATATCTTGTGTTCTTGGATTGGAAGAATTAATACCGCTTAAATGTTCACACTATCCAAAGTGATCTACAAATTCAGTGCAATCCTTATCAAAATTCCAATGGCATGTTTCACAGAAATAGAAAAAACAATCCTAAAATTTGCATGGAACCACAAAAACCCCCAATAGCCAAAGCAGTCTTGAGAAAGAAGAACAAAGCTGGAGGCGTCACACTTCCTGATTTCAAACTATCATTACAAAGCTACCGTAATCAAAACTACATGGTACTGGCATAAAAAGAGACACATAAGCCAATGGAACAGAATAGAGCCCAGAAATAAGCTCATGCATATATGGTCAACTGTCTTTGACAGGGTGCCAAGAATACACAATGGGGAAAGGACAGTCTCTTCAATAAATGGTGCTGGAAAAACTGGGTATCCAGGCAAAAGAAAGAAACTGGATCCCTATTTTATAGAACTCACAAAAATTAACTCAAAATGATTGAAGACTTAAACATAAGACCTGTAACTGTAAAACTCCTTGAAGAAAAAAAGGGAAAAAGCTCCCTGACATTGGTTTTGATATAATACCAAAAGCACAGTCAGCGGAAGTAAAAATAAACAAGTGGAACTGCATAAAATTAAAAAGCTTCTGTACAGCAAAGGAAATAATCAACAAAATGACAAGGCAACCTAGGGAACGGGAGAAAATATTTACAAACTGTCTTAGTCTGTTCAGGCTAGTCTAACAAAATACCAGAGACTGGGTAGCCTCCCCGCCCCTCTTAGTCATTATGGTTCACCTTCTGAATGCTTTGAGTGTTATACACACCTAGTTCTTCAGTGCTGAGTAAAGATAGTGACCAAATAGGCAAATAGGTTGACACTTGGACCGTGTATTTAAAATAGAAAATATGTCCAGGGCACAGTTCTTCTTATATGAAGTACAGCAATGTATATTCTCAGAGCCTGGGACCTACAGTCTGCACATTTGTAATCCCCCAAATCGACTCAACCCTGCCTTGTGGGTAACCCACACTCACCAACACCAAATGCTTAGGCTGCTCCTGCACGGGACAGGAATGTGCCTACATTTTCTAACTTACATAGAATGAAAAAGCCCACTGAAGGAAAAGCTCTATGATGCTGTGTCTTAATGCAGGGATAATTATGAAGAAGAGGCTCAGAATCCACACTCCCTCACCAAAATTTCAATTTCAGTTCATTCTCCCAAAGAAAATAAATGGACTATGTATTTTATCTTACCTTTATATACATGGAAAGGAGCTTACAGCTTAAATTATTAAGCTATACAAATACAACTTATTATTGTCTCATCTATGATAGTTTACTAAATAATTCTGTCAAGGGCTAAGCTATGTCAGGAGGAAAAAAAAACAAGCTTTTTTTTTTTCTACAGAATACAACTAAAAACAATTAAAGTGGGGAAGGAGCAAAATCATCTAATCAGGAATCTTTCATTAAAATGTTAGAAAAGAATAGGACCGGGGGAAGAAAAAAAAACAGCTAATCAATTGTGGTTGAAAGGACTGGAATGGAATTATCTCCTACAAAGCAGGGAGGGATGGTTTGGGAGGAAGATAGGCAAGTGTTGAAAGTCTAACTTTTGGAGAAACAGCAATTGAGAAAGAAGATAAAACAGGACTGGGGAGAAGGTGGGACTACGCTGTAGACAAGTCAGAAGTGCTGAACGGAAAAGGGATGGGGCTAGGTAGAAGCATAAATGAGGAGGGCGGAGACTGCGTAAAAGAACCTGGTGGAAAGAGGAGAATGAGTATAAATGATTTATATAAGACAGGAGACGGAGCTGGGAGGGGGTAAGACTAGTGGGTCCAGAATAAGGAAGAGGAAGGAGGCGAGAGGGAATGATAGGCCTGGGGAGATGGGCAGGATGGGGCTGTGGGAAGGAGGACGAAGATGTAGGGAGGCTGATTGGGAGAAGGGGCTAGGCTGGGGGACTGAGGGCGGTTAAGAAGGGAGCTGGGCAGAAAGGGGTACGGTGTGGGAGAATGAGCTAGGAGAGGACCTAGCCAGAGCTTGGGAGGAAAGTGGGGGAAAACAGAGATCTAGAGGGAGGAGAGGCAGGGGCTAAAGGAGCAGGGCAGGAGGAAGAATGCAGCTAGGACGACGAGAACGAAGGAGGCCAACAGACTGCCAGGATGGAGTGAAAAAACTAGAGAGGATGGAGCGGAGGTTAAAGGCTGGGAGAGAGAGGGTGAGGCTGGAGGGGAGGACGCAGGAATTGTGGTGGCGGACAGAGAAAAGGTGAGGACAGAGGACGGGGTCTGAAGGGAGAGGGCAATCTTGGGTGGAGGAGGCAGGTGCACCAAGGGGCGAGCCCTCCGAGGCCGCCCGGGGGTGGGGCCGAGAAGTCCTCACCGTGAAGTCCTTAAAGGACGTGCCCGGGAGAAAGGGCAGGCCATGCACAGGGTTGGACACCATCGCCGCCGCTTTCGGCGCCGCCACCTGGGTCGGGTGTTGGCCTCCCGGGTTGCCCGGGCGACAAGCCGCGTACGCCGGCCTCGCGGAGCTCCATGGTAATGCCAAACATCCGGAGCGCCGCGCGCGGGGTCGGGGCCTGAGGCGCGGGCGCGACGGGTCTGCGCGTGCGCCGCCCGCGGGCCCAGCATTCTGACTGAGGTGGGAGCTGGTGGGCGTGGTGGGAGGAGGTGACTGCGAGGAGGCTCCCCTCGTCGCCTTGAGGTGCAGGGGTGGGGGCCAGCCTTTAGAGGGGTTACAGTGGAGGGGAAGGTGCTTCCTTCCGTCCACCCAGTCCTCACCGCTCCCCGCCCGCGCCGTGAGCTCGGGCCCCGCCTTCTCCCAGCCCTGGGAAAAGGGCTCTTGTCCCGGTTCACACTAAAGTGTAAACGGTTGGTTCCGGCTGAAAGTGGCACCTCGTGCCCGTGCTTGTTGGGGGCAGGGGCTGCGGATTACTCATGGTTGTATCTCTTGCTCAAGGATGTTCAGTGAACTAATGCAACCGTCTCGTCCCTGATCTTCCCATTGCTGCATTATCATTTTCCATCTTCGCCTCTCCTTATTCTACGGGTCAACACCTGCCGCTCTGCAGCCTCTCAATTCTTGAAGGCCTGGGCCTTGCCTATTCACCCCAGGACACTCAGTATTCGTTGACTGTAGAGCTATAGGGTGCTTATCTCAATTCTCTTGATCTCTATACCTATCTGCCGCTGCAGTGCAAAGATACGACCCACAGGGGGAAATGCATCTCCTTCGAAGAGAAAACTAAGTCATAAAGACGCAAACAAGTGGGGTGAAATAGTGTCAGGATCGTAGGTATTCTCGCCTTTGGTGATTTTTATAAAACTTGTTTAAATTATTATGCCTTTAAAGAAATATAATCTCGTTCATGAAGCATCTTCAGGAAAGAAAGAAAAAACCTATCCATCAGCACTGAGGAGTTTAAAAATAAAAACAAAAAACAAAACCCTGGTGCCCAGACATGGGATTCATTAGGTCTGAAATAGAGTTCAGGAATCTGATTTTTATAACAGCTGTTCCTGATAATGAGCCAGTTTAGGAACATGATAGAGTAGCAAGCCTGCCACAGGAAGCATAGCTCCACGTCATGGGTAGTTTAGTGCTAATGCAGACAGCAGCTTTAGTTTTATTGCTGCTTGTCAGAGCAAATCCCCCTATTGGGCTTCACTAATGGGCATGAAGCTCAGGGGGTGAAGGACATGAATCCACTGATGGCACCTGAAGCAGTTAATGTGGCTGTCTACCACATCCTGCCCAGTTTATTTTCCGCTAACCTCTCCTCTCTCCTCACTACTTCTGTTTTCCTGTTTTTGTCCCCTCCCCCCCCTTTTTTTTTAAGATTTTATTTATTTATTTGACAGAGAGAGACACAGCGAGAGAGGGAATACAAGCAGGGGAATGGGAGAGGGAGAAGCAGGCTTCCCGCGGAGCAGGGAGCCCGATGCGGGGCTCGATCCCAGGACCCTGGGATCATGACCTGAGCCGAAGGCAGACGCTT